TCTCTCTCTCTCTCAAAAATGAATAAACATTAAAAAAAAATAAAGAAGTGGGCCCTTGAGGTGATTAGGCCATAAGGATGTAACACTCATGAATCAGATCGGTGCCCCTGTAAGACCTCCCACGAACGCCCTTCCCCTTCCCCTTCCCCTATGTGAGGACAACAGTGAGGTGACTGCCGCCTGTGAGCCAGGAAGCAGACCTTTAGGCAGCAAATCTGCCAGTGCCTTCATCTTCGACTTTGCAGCTTCCACGACAGAAATAATTTTTTCTTCATTTTTTATTCAAGACTTCTCATACTTAGGAAGTTTTGAAACATTCGTTACGTAGAAACTTTGCACTTTTTTAATAGATGTTTTTTTTATAAGCCATCCAGGCTACAGTATCCTCTTACAGCAAACAACCAAGACTATTTCACCTAGTGTGGATATTTACATCCTCTTATTAGATTAGCTGGTGTGTAAACATACCACTTAAGGATAATCTAGTAACCTCAGTGCTCTCTCCAGGAAACTAGGGGCTTTTTCTACTTTTGGTCACTACTGTATCCTCAGCTTCTGGAACAGGACCCAGTACAAACGGAGTATTTGACAAATACTCCATAAACTAATGAACTGACTCAGTCTAAGGCTGCTGTTTCATGAGTGCCTCTGCATAAAATAAACTTTAAGAGCTTACAGCAGACATCCCAGTTTCCACTGAATCATCTTGGCCTGGGGAAACTGAATTGATATACACATGTCCCATATCCCACCCACCCAAATATTAGCCCTTTCCTGATTTTTCATTCATAGCAGCATTCCAGATACAAATTATCTTGTATGTTTTTAAAATTCACCTACTTATTTCCTCCACTTAGTTGAACTCAGACTTCCTCCATTCCTTTAACAGATACAATAGAGCAACTGATGTGTATGTGTTTGGGTTAACATCAGATTATGTCTCTGTATCAATGCATATTTTTAATAGGATGAGGAAATCAGGCTTTCCCAGCCTCAGCCTTCATACAATTCCTCTCAGTATATACTTTTCAGCCATAATACAATCTATAAATTTTTGCTCAATCCTTCTCCACATAGAATGTCTCCAAGCTTCCTCCTACTGGTTTTCTGTGACATAAAATAAGACATAATTGACCACAGAAGGCACGAACACATTCACTGTATTCATAAGGTTTCTGTCCTGTGCAAACCCCCTGTTATCTCCTAAGGGTGCACATCTGGCTGCAGGCTGTCCCACTATGAGCACATTGCTATTTGCTAAGAGTCCACTGATGTTTAATGGCGTCTGACAAGCCACAGAAGGCACTTGCATAGTCACTGTATTAACAAGGCCTTTCTCCTGCACAGCACCACTAGTCTGTGATAAGCTGTGACTCTCTGAGGGAGGATTTTCCACTTTGACTGAATCTCCACAGATCTCTCTTGTGTGTATTCTCTTATGTTTAACAAGGCAAGACATGTAGGCAAAAGCCTTTCCACACTCATTGCAGACGTAGGGTCTCTCACCTGTGTGAGTTCTCTGATGGACAATGAGCTTTTCCTTTGTGGTAAAGGCTTTCCCACACTCACTGCATTCAAAAGGTTTCTCTCCCGTGTGAATTTTTTGGTGTTTAATGAGACCTGACTTCTGGGAACAGGATTTTCCACATTCACTGCACACAAAGGGACTCTTTCCGGTGTGATGTCTTTGATGTGCTATGAGACAGGTCTTCTGGATGAAGCCTTTCCCACATTCATTGCATATATAAGGTTTCTCTCCTGTATGGATACGCTGATGTACAATGAGGTTTCCCTTCTGGATAAAGCCTTTTCCACATTCACTGCAAATGTATGGTTTCTCTCCAGTATGTGTTCTCTGATGTATTTTGAGCCGTGATTTCTTGAGGAAGGCTTTGCCACATTCATTGCATTCATAAGGTTTTTCTCCCGTATGCATTTTCTGGTGTTCAGTGAGCATGAACTTTCTGTTGAACGCTTTCCCACAGAGACAACATCTGTGGGGTTTCTCTCCTGTATGAATGATCTGATGATCAGTGAGGCAGGACTTCCTCTTGAAGGCTTTCCCACATTCACTGCATACATGAGGCTTCTCTGTTTTTTGTGTTTTCTGATGCTTGCTGAATTGGGACTTAGTAATGATGAGTTTCTTGCTTTCAGGGGATTTAATTTTAGTATGAAAGTGTTCATTATTAGTGTGGAGAAAGGATTTTCCATCTCCAGTAGGATCTGCAGGGTTCTTTATTTCATTGCTTCTGTTCTGGTTACGTAAAGTTAACTTTGGTTTCATAGTTTTTCCATGTAAGTCACACATATCATGATTTTGTCTTAACACGGAATGAGCTGTGCTCTGATGAACAGTATTTTCAAATGCGTTATGTTTATGCCATTGTTCTAGGCTATTCTCCATTATTTCATTTTTTAAGTGCTCCGGTAAATAGTCATCAAGTTTCCAGATTTCTAGGAAAGAAAAGAACAATGAATTCATTCATCATCTTGATTTGGAAGAAAGATCACCGAAAAACTATCTTGACGTAAGTTGTCTATTTAGTGATGACCCTATGAAATTAGGATCAATAAAAATACATTTTAATGTTCCTCGCACATCAGATAAAACGATAATATAAATAACCCAAAGGATAAAAGTAGTTAGCGTAAAAACAAGGTTAGATCATTTGCAATGAATAAATACAGATTTGCCTCCTTTCTAAAGGAGGCCTCACAAAACATGCAGAGACTGTGAAATACACACAATTTACTGTGAGCAGCAGACCACAGGTTGGAGGGTCGCCTCATCCAAACTGGTAAGAGACTCCTTCACTTCACAAATCCTTACTGATGACTACAGTGCACGGGGCATGTGCTCATGTTGGGGACACACACACACAGAGTCATCATGTTCAGGGAGCCTACATTGCCATTTGGTAAAACCACTTAAAGGGCAAAGAAGGACACAAGGAAAACAGCTGCAGGTTGTGAAATGGGTGGGAAGGAACATTGGAGATGGAGAGAGGTGCAGGAAATCAGGTTACACTTGGAAAACGGGCCTCCCTATAGGATTCATTGTCGTGGTTGGCCTTGGGGAGCAATAATAATGATACACACTGGGTTCCAAGCACATGTAACCTACAAATTCCAAAAGGGAACTCCTGATTTCCCATCCCAAATCTCCTCCTCCACAAAGCACCTCCATCACAGTGAATGACAACTCCAGTCTTCCCTTTAACCAGGACAGAACTCCTCAGCGCCTCCTGTCATCTGTCTGTCTTGCTCACACACAGTACCTACCTCATTGATCAATCCCACCTGCCCTCTTTAGAATCATAACCAAAACTGAACCAATACCAATACCCTCCACCCTCGTGGAGGCCAATTTCTTTCTCATTTTACAGCAGCAGCCTCCTACTTGGCTTTCCTATTCCTCCCCTGCCGGGTCCTGTCTCCTGTACAATAGCCAAAGCGATCCTTTCAAACATAAATTACATCATGTCAAGCCTCCTCTACTTGAAACTCCCTAACGTTTTCTCATCTCATGAGGAATAAAATCAAGGTCTTAACATGTCCTTAAAAGGCCTTATGTGACCTGCTACCCCAACCCCCTGTCACTACCCCAGTGACCTTCTCTCCAGTCTTGCTCTGTCCACTCTTCCTAAATTCTTCAGATCACACTCCTGCCTTGGGCCTTTGAACTGTCCAGGTTTACTTTGGAACATTCCTTACCCAGGGAGCTGCTCACATCCCTCATCTACTTGCTCAAATGTACCTTAAGGATTTCCTATTCTTCAAATCACAGCCAAGACCAAGCACTCATTCTTCAATTACGCTGTTTTAATGTTCCTTATAGCCATTTCCACCCCCATAGTCTTACCTTCAACCTCCATCCATTCCTTCCTCTTATAGCACATATTTACTTAAATGTCAGATCTCATCGGCCCTCTGTAATGACCGTATCCGGATCATGACCAACACGTCCCTTCCACCCGTTCTGAGGACAGCCAACCTGTCATGTTGTACGGCAGCCTCCTACATGGCTTTCCTGCTTATACCCTTGCCTGCTACTGTCTACTATATACACAGCAGAGGGATTCTTTGAAAACATAATTATTACATGTCACTTGCTATGCTCTCAGGCGCCTGGGTGGTTCAGCCAGTTAAGCATCTGACTCTTGATTTTGGCTCAAGTCATGACCTCACCATTTGTGAGCTCTGTGCTGACAGCGTGGAGCCTACTTGGGATTCTCTTTCCCTCTCCCTCTCTGCCCCTCCCCAGCTTGACCTCTCTCTCTCTCTCTCTCTCATAATAAATAAATAAACTTTAAAAAAAAAAAGAACTTGCTATGGTCTCTACTTGGAACACTCCCAACCCAGCAACCTGTTAACTTCCCTCACCTCTTGGCTCTAAGGCACCTTATCAGAGGGGCATTCCATTCCTAAAAAGGAGACCAAGACCCTACTGTTCCATTATGGTGACTAAGTTTTTCTATTTAAATGTTTACATATTTTTAAATGTTTACTTACTTATATTTGAGGTGGGGGGCAAAGAGGGAGGGGAACAGAGGATCTGAAGCAGGCTCTGCCCTGACAGGAGTGGAGCCTGATGTGGGGCTCAAATTCACAAACCATGACATCATGACCTGAGCCAAAATCAGACGCTTAACCAACTGAGCCACCCAGGTGCCCTGGTAGCTAAATTTTTATCACAGTACTTTTCACTTCCCTAGACATATTTATTTGTTTATTTTGATTATTTTCTTTATTCCTTCTCTTAGAACGAAAGCTCTTGTGTTTTTCTTACTGCTCTTACCCTCAAGTATACACTGCTAAGCTACCAGAAAATAATTTTTAAAGGAATGAATGAAGGAAGCAGTCACATGTATGGAACACACTGGGGAGAGTGTAGGAGAGATGATGAAACTCTGCCTTTGTGTAAGTGAGATGATACATCATAGATATCACAGAAAGAGGAATTTCATGTCACATGACAGGTAACGTAGTTAACTGGGATTCAATGTCATCAAATCCAATGGAAAGAATACAAGTTTTAGGGAAATGAACACAGCAGTGTCACATCTATAATGAACAAGAAAAAAGTTCAAAATTAGTAAATACACAAAGGAATTAAATCAAAGTAGGCATTAGGTAAGATCTGCAGAGAGTGAAGGATGTTAAAATATCTTTTTAGTTAAAATTCATGAACAACTGACTCCTTTAAAGAAGAGCACTCTGCAGGTAGGGAATATCTGAGGTCATGCCTGGACGGCCAGGATGTGAGATGCACGGGAGTAAAGAAGAACCTAAACTTACAGGGGCTTCCTGGGAGGAGAGAGGAGGTGAGTTCCTTGCAGTAATTGGGAACTCAGGAGAGTTGCCACGGGGACGAGTGAATTATACAGACCTAAAGTCTGGTGGATCACATTGAGGAGATGTCAGTTTGGGAATTTTCTTAAGTGAACAGAAGAAATTTAGCTTATTAGAATGCAGAAAAGTGTGAAGGGCTAGGAGACCAGATGAGAAGATGGAAAACAGAACCTTGGGAGAACTTCAGAGTGAGGACAAGGGCACAGTGAAGACTTTGGGGACCCAGCATCCTGGCTGGGGTGGAGGTTAGGAAGGACAATCAACACTACCAATGGGACAGAGGGGTGCAGTAGTCAGAAGACAGGAACTAGAAGTGTTCTCTTTGGAGAGAGGCCTGTGGACAATGGAATTTTATAGCAAGGGAGGTCAAAGGGAATGAAGAGGAAGGGAAAGATCAGAGAATCTTAGGAAGAAGAAAACTATGCAAATAAGCAAAATATTAACATGTAGATAAAAATGGAATAGATCCCAGAATAGGCAAAGGGTATATTTTTCTCTAAACTCCTACAAAAAAAAAGAGGTCGCACGTTGGGAGAGAGATGCATGGAGGCACTGCCTACCTATCCTCAAACCCTCTCACAGCTGTGACTCTTATCTGGCCAACTAGAATATGATTTCCACAGCCCAGCCCCCTCCTGGTTCTCTGACTCACCTGAACAGGTTCGAAAGGGGATGTCATCTTCCACTGTCCCTGTTGGTTTTCCTTGATCCAACTTGGTGAGCACATCTGGTCTCCTGGGGTAAAAACCTGTTCATGGGAAATGACAGAAGACTAAGCATTGGGCTTGGGGTCTCTGAAGACCACAGAAATGTTATAGTTGACGACAAAACAATTTTCACATTACAAAGGAAAAACATACTGCCCTGCTGGTCTCCTCTCCCGTTGATACTCTACTAAGTACTTGATCCATGGAACCAGGAACCCCCTGATCCATGGGGTTTTCACACATCAAGGAATTCTGTGACACCAAAGGACACCGACTGGGTGTCCGACAACTTAGATCAGTTCTGACAATCTCCACCTGGTGACGGCTTCCGATCCCACAGGTTAGGGGTTCACTACCACAAGACTGCACACCTCCTCCACTTCAGACGCCAATCACAAGCCCAAGTTGTTTCTTGAGCTTCTGATTGACTAAATATGGACTGGAGGTTCCCATGACCCCCTTTTCCAGGTTCAATTAATTTGCTGGGGCAACCCACGGAACTTAGTAGAACAATTTACTTATTACATTACTGGCTTATTATAAACAGATATAACTCAGACATAGCCCAGTGAAAGAGATACACAGTACAAGGTATGTGGGAAGGGGTGTGGAGCTTCCATGCTGTGTCTCGGCATCCCACATTCCCCGCACCTCCGTGTGTTCACCATTTCAAGAGGTCTCCAAACCTGTTCTTGTGGGTTTTTTTTTTTTAATTTTTTTTTTTTTTTAACGTTTATTTATTTTTTGGGGACAGAGAGAGACAGAGCATGAACGGGGGAGGGGCAGAGAGAGAGGGAGACACAGAATCAGAAACAGGCTCCAGGCTCTGAGCCATCAGCCCAGAGCCCAACGCGGGGCTCGAACTCACGGACCGCGAGATCGTGACCTGGCTGAAGTCGGACACTTAACCGACTGCGCCACCCAGGCGCCCCTTGTGGGTTTTTATGGAGGCTTCATTAAGTAGGCATGATTAAGTAAATTAAATCATTAGCCTTTGGTGACTGATTCAAACTCCAGCTGTTCTCTCCTCTCCAGAGGTGAGGTGGAACTGAAAGTTGCAACCCTCTAATCGTGGTTGGTTCCCCTGGCAACCAGACTCCATCCTTAGGTCATATAGTGGCTTTCCAAAATCACCTCATCAACATAAATCCAAATATGGCTGAAAGGGTCTTGTTATATAAATAACAAAAGACACCCATTTTACATTTATCTTCTTATAACCTAGGAAATCACAACTGTTGCAGGAGCTCTGTGCCAAAATTAGAGATGAAGGCCAAAAAGATATACATATATGTACATATACATACATATGCATATACATGTATCTATGTATAAAATATACATGTACATATGTATATATGTATACAAAAGCATACATGTATATACATAAATATATATATATCACAATATCATACATTTGTACAAAGTAAAGGTTGTGCACTTAGGTGAAGGGAGAACATACCCATGTCTCTGGAGCCAGGGAGGGGACTGAGAATCTAATTTCAGAGCAGCACACATACTCCAGAGCTTTAAGAAGCCGAGAAAGGAAAGGCCACTGATGGGGACCCTCTGAGTGACACAGGGGAGCTGTCCTCACCCAAGGACACCAGGTTCCTATAGTTCTCCAACATCACATCCCGGTACAGGTTCTTCTGAGCAGGGGCCAGGAGCTGCCACTCCTCCCATGTGAAGTTCACAGCCACATCATCAAACGTCAGGGATTCCTGTAATAACAGTGCTCTCTAATGAAGTGATGTCCTTTTGATGGTATGGAAGAAATGTTAAAATTTTTCTGTCTATTTCCACTCTATAGGTTTTATCTAGACATGTAGTGGTGCTTTTATTTTGGTACAATGTAGACGAAGCAAATACCTAATTAAATATTCTGTAATTGTGCACTCAGTCATCCATCCATTCTTCCAATGAGAAGTTTCTATAACATGTAGAAGTTCAATCTTGTTAACCTAGAAACACCATCCATATGGAGATGACAAACAAAAGATATACGTATGTATACTTTTCAGATTAATGGAACTGATTTTTTTATAGGTCTCTACAACACCATTAGGGAACAAAGGAAAGAATAAAATAAACCAAAAGTCACCTGTGCCTGGATCATTTTTTCTGCTCTCTGAAAATAGCTGGCAATGGGGAAGCTCTGTTTTGTGTCTTCTGGATCTACTCTTAACTTCTCTTCAGAAATCTCAGTCCTGGATGAGCACTGGGTGTTATATGTAAATGATGAATCACTAAATTTTATTCCTGAAAAAAATAAATAAATATATTTTGATTAAAAAAAAAAAGAATGAAAACATGAACATGTTGTTAAAATGGGGCTTGTCCTACTACTAGGTATTTACCCAAAGGACACAAAAACGCTGACTCGAGGGGGCACCTGCACCCCAGTGTTCATAGTAGTGCTAGCAACAGTAGCCAAAGTATGGAAAGAGCCCAAATGTCCCACTAACGAATGGATAAAGAAGATGTGGTATATATATACAATGGAACATTACTTGGCAATCAAAAAGAATGAAATCTTGCCGTTTGCAACAACGTGGATGGAACTAGAGGGTATTATGCTAAGTGAAATACGTCATCAGAGAAAAACAGGTATCACATGATTTCACTCATATGTGGAATCTGAGAAACTCAACAGATGAACATGGGGGAAGGGAAGGAAAATCATAATAAAAACAGAAGAGAAGGGGCAAACCATAAGAGACTCTTAAACAGAACATGACAGGGATGTCCACTCTCACCATGTTCAACATAGTATTGGAAGTCCTAACCTCAGCAACCAGACAACAAAGAAATAAAAGGCATCCAAATAGGCAAGGAGGAAGTCAAACTCTCACTCTTCGCAGACAGTATGATACTCTATATGGAAAACCCAAAAGATTCCACCAAAAAACTGCTAGAACGGATCCATAAATTCAGGAAAGTCGCAGGATATAGAATCAATGCACAGAAATCGGTTGCATTTCTATACACCAATAATGAAGCAACAGAAAGAGAAATCAAGGAATCGATCCCACTTACAACTGCACCAAAACCCATAAAATATCTAGGAATGAACCTAACCAAAGAGTTGAAAAATCTATACACTGAAAACCATAGAAAGCTTATGAAAGAAATTGAAAAAGACACACACACACACACACACACACACACACACACACACACACAACCATTCCATGCTCATGAATTGTAAGAACAAATATTGTTAAAATGTCAATACTACTCAAAGCAATCTACATATTCAATGCAATCCCTACCAAAATAACACCAGTATTCTTCACAGAGGTAGAACCAACAATCCTAAAATTTGTATGGAACCAGAAATGACCCCAAATAGCCAAAGCAATACTAAAAAAGAAAACCAAGGCTGGAGGCATCACAATTAGGGATTTCAACCTGTATTACACAGCTGTAATCACCAAGACAGTATGGTACTGGCACAAAACAGACACTTAGATCAATGGAATAGAATAGAGAACTCAGAAATAGACCCACAAATGTATGGCTAACAAATCTTTGACTAAGCAGGAAAGAATATCCAATGGAATAGTCTCTTCAGCAAATGGTGTTGGGAAAACTGGACAGCAACATGCAGAAGAATGAACCTGGACCACTTTCTTACCATACACAAAAATAAACTCAAAATGGATAGAGGACTTAAATATAAGATGGGAAACCATCAAAATTCTAAAGGAGAAAGCAGGCAAAAACTCTTTGACTTCGGCAACAGCACCTTCTTACTCAACATGTCTCTGGAGGCAAGGGAAACAAAAGCAAAAATAAACCATTGGGAGCTCACCAAGATGAAAAAGCTTCTGCATGGAAAAGGAAACAATCAGCAAAATTAAAAGGCAGCCAATGGAATGAGAGAAGATATTTGCAAATGACATATCAGATAAAGGGTATCCAAAATCTATAAAGAGCTTATCAAATTCAACACCCAAAAAACAAATAATCCAGTGAAGAAATGGGCAAAAGACATGAATAGACACTTCTCCAAAAAAGACACATAAAAAAATGCTCATCACTCATCATCAGGGAAACACAAATCAAAACTACAATAGATACCACCTCACACCAGTATGACTTGCTAAAATTAACAACTCAGGCAACCACAGATCTTGGTGAGGCTGTGGAAAAAGAGGAACCTTCTTGCAATGCTAGGTGGTAATGCAAACTTGTGCAGCCACTCTGGAAAACAGTATAGAAATTCCTCCAAAAATTGAAAATAGAACTACCCTACAACCCAGCAATTGCACTATTAGGTAATTATAAAAAGGATACAGGATTACTGATTCATAGGGTCACATGCACCCCAATGTTTATAGCCGTGCTATCAACAACAGCCCAATATGGAAAGACCCCAAATGTCCCATCAACTGATGAATGGATTAAGATGTGAGATATATATAT